GTAAGTCGAATACCTAAAAATTATCTTTTAAAAGAGTTTTTAAGAAAACATCATTTTAAAAGATAAACAAGTCTGTATATAACCATAAATTCATTTTTTGAATAAAATAAAAAATGGTTCGGGGTCTATTACACGTGGGGAATGATAAACACCCTCACAATATCCAAAATTGGTACCCATCGATTATAAATTGTCTCTAATAGTAAAAATCTAAGAATTCGAATATAGATTTAACTTACGATCCTAGTATTCCCAATTCAACCATAAAATATTTATTTAACGGAAAATTCAAATGATAAATAAAAAAATATTCTAATATTTCCAATCGAAATGAAAATAATCTCTAAAATACTTTAGAAGAATATTTCTCTTTCCAACTGAAATAAAAAGAATATAATCATTTCTCCCAAAAATTCGAGATTAAATAATTTGATTTTACCAAAAATAAAAAAATCAAATAATCCAAATTACAAATTTAATTAGAAAATATAATGGATGTTGAATTATTTAAAAGGGTAAAAAAACAAATCCCTAATGAAAATTAGACTAATTGTGTCGACAAATTTAAATAATGAAACATTTCCATTTTCCTTTTATTTTAAGCATATTCAATTTAAGACGAATTGCCTTGCTGATCACCCATTGACCCCGTCTATTATGTATTTAGCCTGGCTCGTGCTCCCTTCTCTTTCTTTATCAACGTGGGATTACTGCTTTATCACCACTAGTCCTGGATATGAATTTTTCCTGGTACTGGTGAGGCTGAATGAAGCTACGGCGGTTTTACAAAGAATATATGACACTCAATAGATTAGAATCTGCTTCATTCCTTCTTCCGAATGGTCATAAACTAAGTGAAATCTCAGAGTCTGCAAAAGCTTTCCTCAATGGAGTTGGGGGGTTTTGTAACAAAGTGTGCCCGTCTTTTAGCACCTAAGCTGAAAGGTAAATGTTCCCCATGGCTACCAAGAACAGATCGATTTCATTCCATTTCATCCGTATTGTTTTCAATATTCTCTTTCTTTTGCAGTGAGGCAGTTCAATGTCCATGGAAACGACCAAGCATAGGTCGCCTTGAACACGAATGGTGAGAGAATGTCGAGACTTTGGGCAAATTGTTTCACTCCTCTTTTTCTTTTAGCCAACTAATCCAAGACAGTATTCAATAGGTGTAGATAGTGAGCTTCTTCTTGTTTCTCAAAATATATGCAGATAGTGAGCTTTTAAACTTGAGAGATGTCCATCTGTTTCCCAGAGTTACATGGATCGAAGTATCAGATTCTTGCCCTCTGTTAATAATGCTTTGGCGTATGGAATGGAATTTTATGTATTCCCTAGTTTCTTGATAAATGACTTTATTTCTGTGTGACACTTTGGTTGTGACCGGAAGGAACTGAGTGGAGTCTTGACAATGATGCATCAAATGAGTGGTAATACCGGAATCGGATTGGCATTTTTGGCCGCTGCAAAAAGTGCAGTTGAAAGCTCGGGCATGAAAGGTGCAGTTGAGAAGGCTGAGGAAATTATGGCAAAGACTCCTAATTCTTACATTCTTCTGCAGTTTGAAAATAATACCAACCCAAAGGTGTCATTTTTGATAATATGTCTTGTTTTAAATCCATTATGAGACAACTGGACCAGAGACGTGGCCTTGCCCCCCTAAAATGAAAATCTTGTTCACTAATCCCTTAAGAACTTATGCACTTTTAAAATAGACCAATGAGAAAATTGCACTTTCCCCTAAACATTTATAAATTTATTCTGACCCCTTAATAAAAATCAAAGTAAAGATCAAAGTAATTTGATGGAATCATACGGATACTTGAATATTATTATGGGAGAGCATCTGGTTTGATCTTGAAGCAGCAAAGCAAATGGCAACTACTGTAATTATGCTGACATACTTTGTCCTAACGAAAGGAATGAAGTGCTTTAGCTTTCCTTAAAGTGTGAGACACAACAAAGTAAATAAATTAAAGTGATATAGGTCCACAGAGTAATCATTGATTAAGGCAAAAGAAAGAAACAAAGGAAATTCAAAACTATATTTTCACCAAACAACTTAGTTCGGAATATTACATTCTTTCAGAGATTAAACATGAAAGTGTAATTTGTTTATGGTGAGAGAATAATCATGGAGAAGGTGTTTTATTTTTAGTCTCTCATATTATATCATTATCATTATCTAAGCTGAAAGGTATATGTTCCCCATGGCTACCAATAACAGATGTATTTCATTCCACTTCAACCGTATTGTTTTCAATATTCTCTTAGCTTGGCTTGGCTTGAACATGGATGGTTACAAATTTTTAAGTCTGAGAATTTAAAAAATCATCCAAATTGTTTTCTTTTGCAGTGACGCAGTTCAATGTCCATGGCAACGACCAAACATGGCTTGGCTTGAACACTAATGGTGAGAGAATGTTGAGACTTTGGGCAAATTGCTTCACTCTTTGCTTTTAGCCAACTAATTGTCCAAGACGGTATTTCATAGGAGTAGATATTGAAAAGGCACAATCCCCGACATAAAATTCCCAAGAAGCTTCTTCTTGTTTCTCAGCTCGGATAACATTTATAAATTCATTCTGACCCCTTAATAAAAATTCTCGTTTCGTCTCTGTATGTATTCTGCCAGTAAAGGTTATTAGGGGAGAGCGTCTGGTTTGATCTTGAAGCAGCAAAGCAAATGGTAACTACTGTAATCATGCTTACATGCATACTTTGTCCTAAAGAAAGGAATGAAGTGCTTTAGCTTATCTTGATGTTTGAAGTGTGAGACACAACAAAGCAAATAAGTTAAAGTGATATAGGTCCACAGAATAACCATTGATTAAAGCAAAAGAAGGAGACAAACGAAATTCAAAACTACACTTCACAAACAACTTGACTTCCATTTATTAAACATGAAAGTGTAATTTGTTTATGGTGAGAGAATAATCATTAAGAAAGAGTAATATTGTTTTAGTTTTAATCTCCTATATTATATCATAATCCAATATGAATTAGTTCTTTTCCTAAAGAGTTTTTAAGAATGTTGATGACATGTTTGATTGCACAAGTAAGTTGAGAAGAAAAGAATATGATCCAAAGCTTTGCATGGGGGAGGAGGAAAAGAATGTTCCAATCACTTTCCCCAACTATTTAGCATGAAGAGATGACAGCTTCCTCAATCCTTTCCCGTTTCACTTTGATCTCTTGTCATATTACAACAATTAACGTTTCCAGCAGCTCTTTATTTTCCTTCTCAAAGCATCTCATTTTGCCATTAACCATTGTTTCTCTTCCCCCCACACAAAACCGAATACAAAAAATTTCCCTTTCTCACTGCCAATTCCACACACACACACAAAAAAACCATCGTAAGCAGACCTGTCTTTGTTTCCTGTTTTGTCATTTGGCTTCTTCCATAGTTGTCTTTCTCTTCTAGCTTAAAGAAGAAGAAAAATGGTATCTATTGTAAGCAGTGCTGCCAGTAAAGTTGCCGATTACACGTTTGGTGTCATCAAACGTGGGATTGGGTACATAATATATGTTGACAGCAATGTCCAGGATCTGAAGGAGCAAGTTGGAAACCTGGAAGATGCTCGAGGAAGAGTGCAGCATTCTGTCGATCGGGCCATAAGGAATGCAGAGAAGATTGAAGCGGATGTCCTCAAATGGTTGGCCAACGTTGAAAAGAAGTTGACTGAAAACGTTGAGGAGAAATTGAAGAAAGATGAGGAGAAAGCAAAGAAGAAATGTTTCTTTGCCCTGTGTCCGAATGTCAAGTCTCGCTACCAAGTCAGCAAGAAAGCGGTGGAAGAGAAGCATGCTATCAGTGAACTCCTGGAACAAGGGAAATTCAACAAAGTTTCATATTCTCCTCCTATAGAGGGGGTAGTGACCAAAGGTTACAAGGCCTTTGAATCGAGAACAACAGCCTTGAAGGGGATTATGGAGGCCTTAAAGGAATCAAGTGTTCGAATTGTTGGAATATATGGGATGGCTGGCGTAGGCAAGACCACGCTTGCCAAAGAAGTTGCTGCCAGAGTGAAGGAGGAGCACTTGTTCGACGAAGTTGCAATGACCATTGTCACTCATAATCCAGACATAAGAAAAATTCAAGGGGAAATTGCCGACATGTTAGGCCTGCATTATAAGAATGAGACTGTTAGCGGAAGAGCAATTGAGCTACGCGAGCGGTTGAAGACCGACAAAAAGATCCTCATAGTTTTGGATGACCTATGGCAGAAACTTGACCTCGAAGAGGTTGGTATCTCATTTGAGGATCAAGCCGCTAAAGGATCTTCTATAGCAGGATGCAAAATACTGCTGACTTCCAGAAGCCTCGATGTGCTTCGCCTCATGCATGCTGAGAAGAGTTTCAAAGTTGAAATTTTATCACAAGAAGAATCGATGATTCTTTTTGCAAAAACAGTGGGTGACATATCTGGTGATTATGAACGCAGAGCGAATGAATTGGTGAAAAAATGTGAAGGGTTGCCTGTCGCTATCTTAGCAATTTCAAATGCTTTGAAAGATAAGGACCTCACGTCTTGGGATGATGCCTTGCTGCAGCTACGACGGTCAAATCCATCAAACATAGAGGGGATGCAAGACAATGTATATTCTACCATTGAGTTGAGTTACAAATGGCTGAGAAATGAGGAAGCACAATCTTTGTTCCTGATATGCGGCCTGCATCCTCAGAGTTTTGATATCCCTGTCTTTGATTTGCTGCAATATAGCTTTGGTCTAGATCTTTTGGAAGGCATCTACACGATGGAAGAAGCAAGAAAAAGGATAGATGCACTAGTTCATAAGCTCAAAGCTTCTAGCTTACTACTTGAGGGAAAAGGTTACGAATGGGTGAAAATGCATGATCTTATACGCGATGTTTCCATTTCAATTGCATCAAAAAACAAGGGAATGTGGGTCATAAGGGATGCAATCATCTGAAGGAATTGTTGAAGAAGGGGAATCTCAATGGTTGCACAGCTATCTCCTTGCCTCACAGCAACATGGCTGACCTTTCTGATGTGGACTGTTCGAATTTGGAGTTACTCATGTTGCTGAATAAAGATCCATCTTTCAGAGTCTCGGAAACTTTTTTCAAAGATATGTATAAGCTGAAGGTGTTAAGCGTGACTGGTATGAGTTTTCCATATTCTCTGCCTTCATCTTTTCGTTCTTTAACAAACCTTCAAACTTTGCGTTTATGTGAATGCAAGTTGTCTGAGATAGCCATTGTAGAGAAGCTGAAGAAATTAGATTTACTCAGCTTTCATGGTTCCGCCATCACAAAATTGCCAATAGGGATAGCACAATTGACCCAACTAAAGTTATTAGATTTGAGTGAATGTTCTCAACTTGAAGTCATCCCAGAAAATGTCCTATCAAAATTGTATAGATTAGAAGAGCTACTTGTTGGCAATAGCTTTCGAGAATGGAATGTTGGAGGTAATGCTCGACTTGAAGAGTTAAATAACTTATCTTCTTTGTCAGCATTAGATGTATCCATTCCGGATGCCAGAATTATGCCAAAAGAAGACTTGTTCTTGAGAAAGTTGGAAAGATACAAGATTGTTATAGGAGAAGTTCAAGTGCATTCCATTTTCTTTACTAAGAGTAAAGCTTCAAAAGCGTTGCAACTTGAGTTAGACATTGGCAACGACTTAGTTAAAGGGATGGAAATGTTGATAAAGAATGCTGAGGAGTTACGCGTAGAGGGATTGAAAGGTGCCAAGGATATGTCTTTTGAGTTACTAGATACGGACGGTTTTCCACATCTCAAGTATCTTACTATTGGAGAGCAAGGGTCCTCGGAGATTAGTTGGATCATTAACTCCATGTCCATGAGATTGGCTCCGCGTAAAGTATTCCCTGCTTTAGAGACAATGGTTCTCTATGGTCTGCGTAATCTGGAGAAGATATGCCATGGTGAACTCATCAAAACAGAGTCACTTAGCCACCTAACAACCGTGGCAATTTACCGTTGCGATAGACTGAAGAACCTGTTTCCGTTCTCCATAGCCAGAAATCTCAACCAACTGCAACAAATAACTGTACAACATTGCAAGAACATCACAGAGATTGTTGCAGGGGAACGAAAGGAAGGCAATGACGAGAATGACACCCTAGAGTTTTGTTGCTTAAGATCTTTGCAACTATTCAATTTGCCAAATTTCAAAAGCTTTTATTCCCAGGAGACAACAGCTTACTCTTCATCCAGCCATAGTAATACAGAATCTAAAGCTATTCCGCTCTTCAACCTAAAGGTATTCATTATACTCATAATTTCTGGGTTTTTTTTTACAATTTACATGAGAATTGTGGCTTTGGTTTTAAATGTTTGCCTTAACATTGGCTTCAGAGATATTGGTTGGAAAGAATGAGTAGAACACGACTGAGCTGAACAATTTATGTACTTAATTTGTTGCAGCCAAAAATATTTAAATAACGTAAAAGAATCTTGGATATTTCAATGATAGCAAAAACTATTAATATTTTAATTAAAGAAAAATTGATATAAATAATTATCGATTTCAATGATAATACAAAAATAAATATATTTTTCATTTTCAGGTTTCATGCCCTGCCTTGGAGACGTTGAGAGTGCAGAAATGTCATAAGTTGAAGTGTGTGTTTAGTTCATCTATAGTTAAAAGCTTTGTTCAACTCGAAGATCTTGTAGTTTCTGATTGTGATGAACTGGAAGAGGTGATACAAGGAATATTAGGAGAAGAAGAAAGGATTAGCAACTGCATAAGTCTGTTTCCTAAACTTGACTCCTTGAACCTCAACAAACTTCCCAAACTCGGAAGGTTTTGCAGTGGAATTGATATTTCGATTGAATTTACCTCTCTAAGGGAATTAGATATAAGTGACTGTCATGGTTTGAGCACTTTCCATTTGAATAGTACAAATATTGTTGGAAAGAGCAGAGGTAACATCTCACTTGATCAGCAACAACATCTCTTCAATGAAAAGGTATGTATTAATATCCAATCTTAGATATTTAAATAACGTACAAGAATATTGGATACTTCAATGATAGTAAAAACTAGTACTTAATATTTTAATTAAAGAAAAATTGTTATAAATAATTAACCATTTCAGTGATAATACAGAAATAAATATATTTTTCATTTGTAGGTTTCATGTCCTGCCTTGGAGACGTTGACAGTGGCGGGATGCCATGAGTCGAAGTGTGTGTTTAGTTCATCCATGGTTAAAAGCTTTTTTCAACTCAAAGAACTTGCAGTTTCTAATTGTGATGAACTGGAAGAGGTAATACAAGGAGTATTAGGAGAAGAAAGGATTAACAGCTTCATAAGTTTGTTACCTAAACTCGACTCCTTGGAACTCAGATATCTTCCCAAACTCAAAAGGTTTTGCAGTGGAACTGATATTTCGATTGAATTTACCTCTTTAAGGTATTTATTTATATGGGACTGTCGTGGTTTGAGCACTTTCCATTTGAATAGTACAAATGTTGTTGGAAAGAGCAACGGTAACATCTCACTTGATCAACCACAACATCTCTTCCATGAAAAGGTATTTATTATAAATATTATTATTTTTGAAAATTTAAAACGATTAATATGATAATTTAAGCTTTGAAAATTTAAATTTTATTTTTGGTGAGAATCTAAGAAAAAAAGATAAAAAAGAAGTATGACTTTTAATAGATGTTGAATTTTTCAATAGTGTGCAAATAATGAACTATTTAAGTTATTTTTACGTATATCTATATATTGTTATTTTTAGTTGTGATAGTTTGCTGTTATCTACCATACCCTCATAATACATTCTTTTAAATTAAAATTTGTTATTAAAATAAACTTATTAATAGATAATATTAAATGATTGAGGATATATAGTAGTCGAATTGATAATTATAATTATAAAAACGACTTAAGAACATCCAAATATTGAATATTTTGTACTAAGTTATTGTAATTATTACTTATATGTTAATTCGCAATCTTAATAACATTTATGTTTAATAATTCTAAATTAAAATCTTAAATTTATTAAAACATTATAAATTATTAATATGCTAGAAATTAATTAAAAAGATGGAGATGGTAAATTAATAATATTAGAATAAATTATGGATAAATTATAAACATGTAAAAATTATTTTTTTATATAAAAATCAACTTCATAGAATTAGTACCTATTTGAAAATATATATATTTATTATGAAAACTAATTATATATTATTGTTATAAAATGTTATAGTACTCGTATTTAAATTCAGATAAAAAATTATAATAAAATTTCTATTGCTATCAAGGTTTAAATTTTTCTTAGATTTATTTATAGTTTAAATTTAAACTTTGAAATTATATATTGGTTGGAAAGAATAACACACAACTGAGCTGAACATAATTTGTTGATGCCAAAAATATTTAAATAACGTAAAAGAATCTTGGATATTTCAATGATAGTAAAAACTTTTACTTAATATTTTCATTAAAGAAAAATTGATATAAATAATTATCGATTTAAGTGATAATACAAAAATAAATACATTTTTCATTTGCAGGTTTCATGTCCTGCCTTGGAGACGTTGAGAGTGGAGGAATGCCATAAGTTGAAGTGTGTGTTTAGTTCATCTACTGTTAAAAGCTTTGTTCAACTCAAAGAACTTGTAGTTTCTGATTGTGTTGAAATGGAAGAGGCAATACAAGGAATATTAGGAGAAGAAGAAAGGATTAGCAGCTGCATAAGTCTGTTTCCTAAACTCGATAAATTGAATCTCATGGAACTTCCCAAACTCAGAAGGTTTTGCAGTGGAACTGATATTTCGATTGAATTTACCTCTCTAAGGTATTTATTTATAACGAACTGTCGTGGTTTGAGCACTTTCCATTTGAATAGTACAAATGTTGTTGGAAAGAGCAGCGATAACATCTCACTTGATCAGCCACAACATCTCTTCCATGAAAAGGTATGTATTAATATCCAATCTTAGTTAAATCTCATTTATCTAATTATGGTGATCAATATTTATTATAAATATTATTATTTTTGAAAATTTAAAATGATTAATATGATAATTTAATCTTTGAAAATTTAAATTTTATTTTTGGTGAGAATCTACGAAAAAAAGGTAAAAAAGAAGTATGACTTTTAATAGATGTTGAATTTTTTAAAGTGATAATTTGAATGAAACAATTTAAAAACTCAAAAGTGAGCGAACAAACAATTTACAATTATAAATGATTAATAATTTATAAATAAAATTATAGCAAATGAATATATAATAAAATAATTTTACATTAGTGGATACAGTGACTATTAAACATTAAATTTTAAGAGTTTTTTAAATTGTTGCAATTTAAGATGGTAACATTCAGAAGATTCTTGTTATACAATTTTTCTTTGTTATTAAATAATTAATCTTATAAATAGTCAATACAATTTAGTGTTTTGGATGTGTGGGTTAGAGTGTGCAAATAATAAACTTCCAAACATTGAATGTTTTGTAGCAAGTTATTGTGATTGTTAATTCACAATCTTATCAACATGTATGTTTCATAATTCTAAATTAAAACAATATAAATTATTAATATACTAGAAAATAATTAAAAAGATGGAGATGGTAAATTAATAATATTAGAATAAATTATGGATAAATTATTAACATGAAAGCAAAATTAGTACTTGAGTATTTAATCAATAAGAATATTAATTAAAATTGTTATAAATAATTATTGGTTTCAGTGATAATACAACATAAAAATAAGAATAAAAATATTTCAGAAATAAGATTTGAATCAGAATCTCAATTCCAAGAAGGCAAACAGTGGTGTTATGAAATCATTTTCTACACGACTCATTCTTGACTCTTGGTTTAATTTATTTTACCCTATCTAATCTTATTTTAATTTTTATTAGCAGATTTCATGTCCTGTCTTGGAGGAGTTGAACTTGGAGGGATGTGATAAGTTGAAGTGTGTGTTTACTTCATCTACAGTTAAAAGCTTTGTCCAACTCAAAACACTTGATATTTTTCGATGTCGTGAAATGGAAGAGGTAATACAAGGTGGGGATGATGATGATGATGAAATCAGTTTCCCCCAACTCAACATTTTGAAACTTGACTATCTACCAAAGCTGGAGAGTTTCTGCTCATCAGGGAATTATACCAGTGACAACATCTCACTTGATCTGCTACAACATCTCTTTAATGACAAGGTATTTACTAATCTTCGGTCTTAGTATAGGAAGAAACAACAAAAGAATTCCAATGCTCTGAACCTGGTATTTTTGGTGTTATGCATGTAGGTGATGCTTCCTCAGCTAGAGCAATTGTATATTCGATTCTTGTACAACTTTGAAATGCTATGGCTAAATCAGCAGTCCTTTTCCAGACCAACCAATTAGTACTTGAATATTTAATCAAACAAGAATATTAACTAAAAGTTGCTATAATTAATTATTGGTTTCAGTGATAATACAACATAAAAATAAGAATACAAATATTTCAGAAATAAGATTTGAATCAGAATCTCAATTCCAAGAAGGCAAACAGTGGTGTTATGAAATCATTTTCTACACGACTCATTCTTGACTCTTGGTTTAATTTATTTTACCCTATCTAATCTTATTTTAATTTTTATTAGCAGATTTCATGTCCTGTCTTGGAGGAGTTGAACTTGGAGGGATGTGATAAGTTGAAGTGTGTGTTTACTTCATCTACAGTTAAAAGCTTTGTCCAACTCAAAACACTTGATATTTTTCGATGTCGTGAAATGGAAGAGGTAATACAAGGTGGGATGATGATGATGATGAAATCAGTTTCCCCCAACTCAACATTTTGAAACTTGACTATCTACCAAAGCTGGAGAGTTTCTGCTCATCAGGGAATTATACCAGTGACAACATCTCACTTGATCTGCTACAACATCTCTTTAATGACAAGGTATTTACTAATCTTCGGTCTTAGTATAGGAAGAAACAACAAAAGAATTCCAATGCTCTGAACCTGGTATTTTTGGTGTTATGCATGTAGGTGATGCTTCCTCAGCTAGAGCAATTGTATATTCGATTCTTGTACAACTTTGAAATGCTATGGCTAAATCAGCAGTCCTTTTCCAGACCAACCAATTAGTACTTGAATATTTAATCAAACAAGAATATTAACTAAAAGTTGCTATAATTAATTATTGGTTTCAGTGATAATACAACATAAAAATAAGAATACAAATATTTCAGAAATAAGATTTGAATCAGAATCTCAATTCCAAGAAGGCAAACAGTGGTGTTATGAAATCATTTTCTACACGACTCATTCTTGACTCTTGGTTTAATTTATTTTACCCTATCTAATCTTATTTTAATTTTTATTGGCAGATTTCATGTCCTGTCTTGGTGGAATTACGCGTGCTGAGTTGTGATAAGCTGAAGTGTGTGTTTACTTCATCTACAGTTAAAAACTTTGTCCAACTCAAAACACTTGATATTTTTCGATGTCGTGAAATGGAAGGGGTAATACAAGGTGGGGATGATGATGATGATGAAATCAGTTTCCCCCAACTCAACATTTTGAAACTTGACTATCTACCAAAGCTGGAGAGTTTCTGCTCATCAGGGAATTATACATTTGGGTTCCCATCCTTACAAACTGTACTTGTGTATGAATGCCCAAAGATGAAGACGTTCTCTCGAGGACATTCAAACACCCCAATGTTACATAAAGTTACACTAAGTGACTGGCTAGATGAATGGCGTTGGGAAGGCAGCCTTAATCACACCATACAACAGCTCTTCCGAGAAAAGGTAAATTTATATTTTCCAAATATCCTTATCAATAATTGGTTCTTCATTTCACTCTAAACTCTGTTGTGAAAGCAAAACCAAAGAATTACAATGAGAAGAACGACTTCTAAGGTTCTATTTAATGGATATAAAAGAATAATGGTGATAGAAATATATTTGTTTATATAGGAAGATGCTATTATATATTATTTGATAAATTATATTTACTTATTTTCACTTATTAATCATTACAGAATGGCATGACAGAAGAATACAACTCTGAAGAAGATCAAAATGTAAACGATCCTTCATCTTCTAAAACGTAGTTAACCCTAAATTCATTTTAGTGTATCTTTGTTATCAACTCTTTCATCACTAAGATTATTACAGGTGATCATGATAGAATGACATAATAGAAGAATCTAAGATCACTGAAGAACAAAGAAATCATTCAACTTCTAATGCCCAAGTAAGCTTATGCTCATCCTAATTTCTTATTGCTTTTCTCTTATCTTTCATGACTAATATTAATCATTTTAGAGAAAGACTATATTAGTCTAAGAATTTGTAAGATTGAATTTAGTGGGTTAATGGATATAAAATAATTGTGAAGCTATACATTTCTTATTTCTTAGTTTTGACTGTTAATTTGCTGTAGGACATTAATGAAATTGGTAGAGATGATTAGCTTAAGCCTAAAGTTTGACAGTCAATGCCAATGCTGCCTTCCTACTCTTCTTATATGCTGTGATGCGTTGCTTGGATCCCCCCTTTTTGCCTTGATTAAAAATGCTGATCGGCTTGCTGGCTTTCGAGTAATGAATCAGTGTTTGAAGGTGAAATGATGGAGTGTTAAAAGGTGATCCCTTCACTAGATTAAAGCTTTTGACGATGGGATTGTTTTATATTAGCCAGTGTGGTAAAACCAGAGATTTTATTTTCTTGTCAGATTTCAGGTTAAACAATCTATTTCTGTTCTGCTTTGTTTTCGTGTGCTGATCCTGGTGTAATGGATACAAATATTGCTAAGTTCAAGCAACGAAGATGGCCATGGAGGGTTTCTTACAACCGGAATGATTGATTATTGTATTCACTTTGGTTATTACAATCAGCTAGTGTTTGAAATATTGTTGTGTAAATATCATTTGAAATACATACTAGACCAATAATTTCAAGGGTAAACTACACGTTTAGTACCTAGTCGATCAATTTTAGTTTGTTTTAGTAGCTAAACTTTCATTTTTTCAAAATCATACCTAACATTTAGTTTTTGTTTCATTTTAGTATCCCGCCGTTAAAAACTTAACGAACAGGCTGACGTGACATAGCTCCGATGGACAGACGACCAATCTGAACAGTGGAGATCGAAGGATGAAGAAATCGAAGAGTCATTCGTCGATTTGGGGATATTGAGGCGTTTTCCGATGAAACGTAGGTCGAAATCGTGTCTAGGGGGTCGAAAAGGTGTGGCTAGAAAGTTTGGGCTTCATCGACTGACGGATGGATGACCGATGACTATAGACACGGCGGCCGATGAGCTTATCCGTTAAGTTTTTAACGGCGGGGTACTAAAATAAAATAAAAACTAAATATTATGTATGATTTAAAAAATAAAAATTTAAGTACTACAACAGATCAAAATTAATAATTTATGTACTAAACTTATAATTTATCCTAATTTTAAATATCGTTGATAAAGATGATGACTTCTAGTACATGGAACCCAGGTCATTATAGTGTTATCGGGTAGTGTTATGACATTATCTTTTAAGTACGATTTCGAATAGAATATGTTATTATATTTCAAATTATACTTAAAAATTTTATAAATTATATGATATATTAACGATCTTTAAAACATGTAGTTAAAAGTTTTAGTCTTAATTAATATTTTTCTTTTCTTTAAGTTTAGAGTTTAATACATATAAGGAATAAAATTTTTCTTTTCAAGATAGGCATTGTTAAAAAAATTATATGATATATAATTTTTTAATAATTTAAATTTATTATAATGTATTATCTATTTATAATTTCTTTAATCGATTGATAATGTACATGTACCCTCAATTGAGTTAAAAATATCCGAAAACATGCTAAATGCTCTTATGTTATACGAAAAACAGAATTTTAACGCAATATTGCATCTAAAAGAATGATAAACTACACATTCATTAACCATTCAATTCAGTTCCAAAATCCACCTTGATTATTCAACATTTTGCAACAAATTACCCAGAGATCTCTACCTATACAAATCACTTGGTCATGATCTCAACACCAGTTTTCCCAGCAATGATAACAGAGGTAGCCATCCCCAGAAACAACCCATGTTCCACTACACCTTCCAAGGCAGAAATCTCTTTCCCAGCTCCAAACCCGTCTTTAATCGGGTTCTGGAAATACAAATCCACAATGCAGTTCCATTATCAGTCACATAAGGCTTTTCACTTCCATCTAACCTCAACTTGCTTCACAACCCAGTTCTTTAAACAGCCCTTGGAGTCTAACCAGATTGTATTTCCAGCAGAATTGCACGACTTCAACAGGCATGGCTAAACCGCTCCCTCCGAGCCCCGAAACAAGCTTGCTATCATCGGCTACGATGATGAACGAAGACGAAGCTGCTTCAACCATTTTCTCACACAAAAGTGCACCTCCTCGGCCTTTAACCAGGTCGAGGTTGGGATCTACTTCATCGGCGCCGTCAATGGCGAGGTCAATGTGGGGATGAGAGTCCAGGGTTGATAAGGGAATGTTGAGCGATGCAGCTTGTTCTTGTGTTCTTTTCGAGGTTGGGATTCCTATGATGTTGGAAAGTTGGCCCGTGGAAAGGAGTTGGCCTAGTTTGTCGACCACGAAAGCTGCCGTGGAACCTGTTCCAAGGCCGAGGATCATGCCGGACTTGACTGACTCGACTGCCTTGTCGGCCGCGAGTTTCTTGAGCTCATCTTGGGAAAGCACCGGGGCGGTTGGGACCTAACGGAGAATGGTTTCTGGGCTGGGGCGCGTCGGTTAACAGGGGTGCGGTGCAGAATAAGAGGGTTGGTGGAGGTGTCGAGTGAGGATAGGCGGAGGGATAAGGAAGCCATTGTTTTCGTTTTTGGTGAATGGAAAGGAAAAATACCCAAAAGAGTGGAAAAAAAGTGCCTTTTGGAATTTGGATTGTTTGTGGCCAGTGCCTATTGTATTGCTCTGATCTATATGATCTTTGTTTGTTTGGTGTTTGGTGTTTGGTGTTCGGTGAAAAAGGTTGAAGATTGAAGGATAGGGGAAAAGGGGTTGATGATATTTGGTTGGTTTACTTTGTTAAATGAATTCTTTCTTGGTTGGTGGGTACTTGCTTTGCTTGTTTGGCTTGGGCCTTGGGGTTTGGGAATTTGGGTCGGATATAGTGAAGATGTCTAAATAAAAGAGCCTTCTTTCTTCTCTAAAAATTCTCCCTAGAGCTTGACCACTATAAAGATTTGTCTTTAACTTTGTCTCCAATTATTCTCTTGGTGCTTCTTTTTCTTTGTCAAGACAATTTTTATATCAGCAATCTCATTAACCTCTTAGACCATGGCTGTTGCTGAATCAGCTACTGCAATTCAAAGAAACCAAGTGAGTGTTGCAATCTTAAAAGTTTCTGCCTTTATGGATACCCTTTGTTTGGTTTCTGAGAAAACTTGAGAAGTCTGGTCGGAAAGCAAGGAATCTTGACAACTGATTATCTTTTGGATGGTTTTCCTTTTTCTTAGCTTGAAAAGATTCGTTTGTTACTATGTATTATGAAGCTTTTCATAACAGGTGTTTTTTTGGGTGTAATTGTAAGAAAGATTATTTGAAACCTTTAACTTGATTGGGAAACATTTTTTAATGGTTAGGTTGATCTCTTGGACTTCATTGATTGTTCTGGAGTTGAATGCCATAACCAAAGCTCTGGTCACCTTCTGGCCGATGCTCTCAAGCAGGTAACTCTCTTCTAGCAATTCTTGTTTGGTATTGAATTATTTAGGGTTTACTTTATTGTCCAATGTATTTATCTTGTCAAACTTTGTGGGGTTATGAAATAATTTAGTTTGAAGGTCAAGAAATAGGGTTATAGAGAAGATGAAGGCTTGAATCTAGAGAGTGATGCAGACGAACAACTTTTGATATATATCCCTTTCACTCAAGTCGTTAAACTACATTCCATTGTCGTTAAGGGATCCAAAGAGGAAGGTAATGTATCTTTTAACTTGTACATTTATTCATCTGAATATCTGATCATGGATTCGATCTTGTTGAAGCCAAGTTCTATGGCTTATGACGAACACCGGTCCCAAATTGCGCCCTACAAAATTTTCTTTAGAGGTTGTTGATTGTGGTATAGTATTTCACCATGAAGATTGTCTTTTGCAGGTCCTAAGACGGTGAAACTTTTTACAAACAGGGAGCATATGGGGTTTAGGTCATTTCAAGGAATGATCACATTCTCAGAATCGGTTTATTAAATTTAAGAACATTTCATTGATAGTATTTTGTTGTACTTAATGCAGTAATGTCAATGACTTCACTCCAAGCGACGCTGCTGTTTTATCGCTAGATAATCTGAAGGTAGCTCCTCTCTGGCTGTCTTTCCATTGTCAGGAGCTACAATGTCGTAAGGGTATTTTACAAAGTCGTCGTGAATCGATAAATCTTATAACATTCTTTCTCTCTTTTTTTGCAGGGCAAACCTATAGTCGTGAAGTATGTCAAGTTTCAGAATGTTCGTAGGTATGTTTATAGTTTATGCACAAAGTACCGCGTTTAGTTTCATCTTCATCAAGTAAAATAATGTTAATTTTACTTTATCATGTTTATCAGCTTGACGATATTTATCGAGGACAATCAATCGGGTTCCGAAATCACTAAAGTTCAGAAGATCGCTTCATATGGATCAATGTAAGTTCTTAATAATTCTTAATCGCCGTTCTCCGCATTATTTGATGTCATTTTCATCTTTAATGTTGCTGGATAAATTCTAGTTTACTGGTTCCTTCTTAGCATCAACATATTGTTCAAGACATGAACTTGTGCTTTAGTCACATTGTCTTTCTTTTGTATTGTGTTGTCTCTGTCACACCCGAGCTAAGGACAACATGATCAAATCAGCATCCTGATTATGACAAATAAAATGCCTAAATTAGCACTACAACCAAAGTATTTATTAGAGCTGTAAAAAATCAGAAGTACTTTGTACAAGGGGCTAGTTTTGGAATTGACTCTCACCAGACCATACAGACAATGCCGCGTGTTTGGATTAAAGCCATGAAGGTTACGTTGTAACCGAATGTATGACATAATCTTGTGCTCTCCCTCACCGGGAACATTCGCATCAGAAAGAATAACCTTCAAATAATCACCAATGCAGCCCCATAAATAAATTTAGAGACAAAGTATCCAGAAAGTAAAACGTGCATGGGGAAATTATACTGAAAGGATAACTCCATTTTGCAAGGAATCATCCAATCTCTGAAGCCAAAGAAGGATAATGTCCTTCACACCTTTGTATTTCGCCAGCCAGGATTGTGATTCAACCTAGATTGTATATAATACTGAAGAGCTACAGACAACACAGCCATAAATGAAGTGCCAGGAGTAATAACATTTGAGTCACATGCTTCAGGTTTTTCCTTGGGGGACAAAGCCTTCCCCTCAGCCTCGAACTCTTTCCTCAATCTCTCTTCTTCAGCTGCCTATCATGCAATAAACAACCAAGAGAAAAATCAATTAAATCCAACAATTAGGATCCACTAAATAATGCAAAGACTTACTGCCTCAGCAGCATCTTTTGCGGCTCTAAAGCGTCGACTACGTTGCTGGTTCATTTTAGCTCTAGGGGCAACACCATCTACAAAAATTAAATATACAAGATTGAATTAAAGAAACAACTAAATAAGAAAGAAAATGCAATAAAAATGGAATAAATCCTACCGATTGCCATATAGAGAAGCTTTCTAGGACGAACCAATGAGAAGAGATGGTCAATATAGTCGAAGATTGATTTAAATACATCATCATAAGTGGCAGGTGCCGGCTGTATGCAAAATAAATAAAACTAGTGATATCCGTTAAAAATCAGGGCCATACCAGAAATAAAAAGAATATTCCAACTCATGGACCACAAAAAAGGTTGATGCACCAATCATCGAAGACAATGCTTTCAGATCCATGGTAATCCAGATCGTAGTAAGAAAGGAAAGCATATTACAACTTCCTGACACACAAAGAAACACATTCAAGGCAAATGCATTTTCAGCTGCGACCATCAAAATCATACAATAACAATAGTCTGTCAATCCACCACTTGATTACCCGGAAACTTGCTTTCAATAAAAGTTGTATTTTGATACACATTGCAAGAATAGACCACACTTACAAACTTCTTCTTCCTAAAAGCTAACTCTAGCATCATAATTCCCTTCTGAAGCAATGTCAATTTACCCGATAGGCGATTACACTTAGTAAACTAAAACACACTCAAAAAGCACGTTTCCAAACAGCTCGGAACTCAATTTTCATAATGAATTCACTAACAACAAACAATATAAATCAATTAAAATAGTCCAAAGAAAAGGAAATTCTACAGAGGTTTTTTTTCTTCTAAATACCTTGCCCTCGGGATGAAAACAGGGATGAATGATCCCGTTCATATCGAGATAAAGATTATCAAATTCGAAGCCGTTAGGGTTAGGTTTAGAGACATCGATCGGTATTTGATTTCCATTTTCGTCTTTCGTCTCTTCCTCTATTACGTCGACGATCGATTGCGGGTACCGATCAGCTATCCACCTGTAAAACGCCGGTACTCCCATGGCTGCGCAGTGAAGAATTGGCGGTTGCTCCGGTCATCCGAGGTCTCGGGCTTTTCTTTTTCCCCCCTATCGGAAATAGAAATAATTAGAGAATTCGAGATTTGTGTGTGACGGCGAAGTTGTACGGTCTTTAATAGGCATGCATTTTATGAGCGTGGCTTGTAAATGACTAAATTGCCATCCAATATGGTGGGAAGAAACAAGAGGAAGGTGGCATTATTCAATTGGGCCGAAAAGAATATACTTAGTTTTAAAATTTTAAAGGGTAAATTACTCATATAGTCTCTAAACTATAACATATTTTTATTTTAATATCCCTATAATAAAAAAAACAAAATGATCCCTCTGATTAGTATGAAGTTACAAGGTCTTTTTTCATTAAAAAAAGCAAGGAAAGCTGATAGTTAATAAATTTGGCATCATAAAAAATTAATACTTAATTTTTATATTTTAATTTAATTTAATTTTAATTCTAAAAAATAATTTGCGTCATTTAAATATCATATAAATTTAATCCTAATTATATAACACTTTCTCTATTTCTTCTCCCCTCTATTTCTTCAAAAATTCTTATTTTTTTCATAAATCATGACGAATATAAAGTAATATTTGTTTAAAGACTCTCAATCCTTTAATAATAAACACTTATATCTCTGGTATACACAATATTATATTTTAAGGGATAACAATAAATACTTTAATTACTGAAGTGGTTCGAAAACTCTTATCTGTTTCAAATCCTAACCTAAACTGAAAACAAAATTGATATCAAACTATTATTTACTTTATTATCCAGAGATATCGCAGAAGTAAGCTATTTTTCATATTCATTAATGGGTTTTATTTTTATTTAATTTAAGAAAACAATTGCTAAAACATGGGTAATATTGTCGGGTTTGAAATGAACAGTTGATTGGTAAAACACCGTATGTGTATCTTAACAAAATTATACATTAGAGGAGTTTAAAATATAATCGGTTAATATTAAGTTTTTAAAAAAATAATAATCAGTTGTAATAATAAAATTTATCAAATCTATAATTGTCGTAATCGTTCATTAAGCTCGGAACGAGTCTCGACTTATTTGTGAAAAATTCGATTTTGTGAAGAAATGTTTTGGAGTCACCAAAGACCTTTTGAGTTAGGTAAGTCGAATACTTAAAAATTATCTTTTAAAAGAGTTTTTAATAAAAACATCATTTTAAAAGATAAACAAGTTTGCATGTAACCAGAAATTCATTTTTTGAATAAAGTAAAAAAGGGTTTGGGGTCGATTACGCGTGAGGAAGGATAAACATCCTCACAACGCCAAAAATTGGTACCCATCGATTATAAATTGTCTCTAATAGTAGAAATCTAAGAATTCGAATATAAATTTAAGTTATGATCCTATTATTCCAAATTCAATCAGACAATTTTTATTTAACTAAAAATTCTAAGGATAAATAGAAATTATTCTAATATTTCCAATAGAAGAGAAAATAATATCTAAAATACTTTAGAATTAATATTTCTTTTTCCAACTGAAATAAAAAGAATATAATAATTTCTCCCAAAAATTCGAGATTAAATAATTTGATTTTAACAAATATAAAAAAGTCAATTAATCCAAATTACAAATTTAATTAGAAAAGACAAGAGATGTTCAATTATTTAAAAGGATCGAAACCAAATTCCGAATGAAAATTAGACGAATTGTTTCGACAAATAAATAATAGAACATTTACTTTTCCTTTTATTTTTTTTAAGCATATTCAATTTAAGACGAATTGCCTTGCTGATCACCCATTGACCCAGTCTATTATTTATTTAGCCTCGCTCGTGCTCCCTTCTCTTTCTTTATCAACGTGGGATTACTGCTTTATCACTATTAGTCCTGGATATGAATTTTTCCTGCTACTGGTGAGGCTGAATGAAGCCACGTCGGTTTTACAAAGAATATATGGCACTCAATAGATTAGAATCTGCTTCATTCCTTCTTCCGAATGGTCATAAACTAAGTGAAATCTCAGAGTCTGCAAAAGCTTTCCTCAATAGAGTTAGTCATAAAACTTCTAGCGCCGCCTAGACACCGAGGACGTAAGCACATTACCGAACCTCGTTAAAAATTCTTGTGTTCTTTCATTATCTTTGCCCGATTCTTCAATAGTAACAAAGTGTGCCCGTCTTTTAGCATCTAAGCTGAAAGGTAAATGTTCCCCATGGCTACCAAGAACAGATCGATTTCATTCCAGTTCATCCGTATTGTTTTCATCAACATTCTCTTTTTTTTTGCAGTGAGGCAGTTCAATGTCCATGGAAACGACCAAGCATAGGTCGCCTTGAACACGAATGGTGAGAGAATGTTGAGAGTTTGGGCAAATTGTTTCACTCCTCTTTTTCTTTTAGCCAACTAATCCAAGACAGTATTTCATAGGTGTAGATATTGACAAGGCACAATCACCAACATAAAATTCCCAGGAAGCTTCTTCTTGTTTCTCAAAATATATGCAGATAGTGAGCTTTTAAACTTGAGAGATGTCCATCTGATTCCCAGAGTTACATGGATCGAAGTATCAGATTCTTTCCCTCTGTTAATAATGCTTTGGCGTATGGAATGGAATTATATGTATTCCCTAGTTTCTTGATAAATGACTTTATTTCTGTGTGACTTCGGTTGTGACCGGAAGGAACTGAGTGGAGGTCCTTGACAATGATGCATCTGTGTTTTGAAACCATGGAAATTGTCATGTTTGATAATATGTCTTGTTTTAAATCCATTATGAGACTAACTGGACCAGAGACGTGGCCTTGCCCCCCTAAAATGAAAATCTTGTTCTCTAATCCCTTAAGAAATTATGCACTTTTAAATTAGTCCAATGAGAAAATTGCACTTTCCCCCTGACCATTTATAAATTTATTCTGACCCCTTAATAAAAATTCTGGTTTTGTCTCTATATGTCCTCATGCCAGTAAGATCAAAGTAATTTGATGGAATCATACGGATACTTAAATATTAGGGAGAGCATCTGGTTTGATCTTGAAGCAGCAAAGCAAATGGCAACTACTGTAATCATGCTTACATACTTTGTCCTAACGAAAGGAATGAAGTGCTTTAGCTTACCTTAAAGTGCGAGACACAACAAAGTAAATAAATTAAAGTGATATAGGTCCACAGAATAATCATTGATTAAGGCAAAAGAAAGAAACAAAGGAAATTCAAAACTATATTTTCACCAAACAACTTAAACTTAGTTTGGAATATTACATTCTTCCAGAGATTAAACATGAAAGTGTAATTTGTTTATGGTGAGAGAATAATCATGGAAAGTGTTTATTTTTAGTCTCTCATTATATCATTATCTTATCTAAGCTGAAAGGTAAATGTTCCCCATGGCTACCAATAACAGATGTATTTCATTCCACTTCATCCGTATTGTTTTCAATATTCTCTTAGCTTGGCTTGGCTTGAGACATGAATGGTTAGGGAATGTTAAAGATTTTGGGCAAATTGCTTCAATCCTCTCTTGCTTTTGTTGTCCAATAGAGTATTTCATAAGAGTATATATTGACAAGGAACAATCACCAACATAAAAATCCCAAGAAGAATAGCATTATTAAGAGTTTATAATCTTAGCATTGCAGGCTTGCATATAGTATGATTACAGATACAAAAGAGAAGGGTATTATTGAACCGGGTGAGGTAAGGTGATTTTCAAGTTATTTTTTATTTCATTCTTTCTCCATGATGAAGACCATTCTGGTCGAGCTAACGACTGTTAATACATTAACCGGATTGGCATTCTTGGGAACTGAAAATGGTTATAGGCTCATAATTACAATGCTTTCTTTGACGAGTATTTATCAATGCATTCGATGGATTATTTCCATCATGATCCTGAGCCATTTGGTCTGACAGAACTAATTAGTCCAATGAGAAAATTAAAATGGTTATAGGCTCATAATTACAATGCTTTCTTTGACGAGTATTTATCAATGCATTCGATGGATTATTTCCATCATGATCCTGAGCCATTTGGTCTGACAGAACTAATTAGTCCAATGAGAAAATTGTACGTTTCCCCTGAACATTTATAAATTCATTCTGACCCCTTAATAAAAATTCTCGTTTCGTCTCTGTATGTATTCATGCCAGTAAAGGTTATTAGGGGAGAGCGTCTGGTTTGATCTTGAAGCAGCAAAGCAAATGGTAACTACTGTAATCATGCTTTCATGCATACTTTGTCCTAAAGAAAGGAATGAAGTGCTTTAGCTTATCTTGATGCTTGAAGTGTGAGACACAAGAAAGCAAAAAAGTTAAAGTGATATAGGTCCACAGAATAACCATTGATTAAAGCAAAAGAAAGAGACAAACGAAATTCAAAACTACACTTTCACCTAACAACTTGACTTCCATTGATTAAAATGAAGTGTAATTTGTTTATGGTGAGAGAATAATCATGACGAAAGAGTAATCCTGTTTTAGTTTTAATCTCTTATATTATATCATAATCCAATATGAATTAGTTATTTTCCTAAAGAGTTTTTAAGAAGGTTGATGGTATGTTTGATTGCACAAGTAAGTTGAGAAGCAAAGAATATGATCCAAATCTTTGCATGGGGGAGGAGGAAAAGGATGTTCCAATCACTTTCCCCCACTATTTAGCATGAAGGAAGAGATGACAGCTTCCTCAATCCTTTCCCATTTCACTTTGATGTCTTGTCATATTACAACAATTAACTTTTCCAGCAGCTCTTTATTTTCTTTCTCAAAGCTTCTCATTTTGTCATTAACCATTGTTTCTCTTCCCCCCACACCAAACCAAATACACAAAATTTCCCTTTCTCACTTCCAATTCCACACACACACAAAAAAAAACCCATTGTAAGCAGACCTGTCGTTGTTTCCTGTTTTGTCATTTGGCTTATTCCATAGTTGTCTTTCTCTTCTAGCTTAAAGAAGAAGAAAAAATGCAATCTATTGTAAGCAGTGCTGCCAGTACAGTTGCCGAATACACGTTTGGTGTCATCAAACGTGGGATTGGGTACATAATTTATGTTGACAGCAATGTCCAGGGTCTGAAGGAGCAAGTTGGAAAGCTGGAAGATGCTCGAGGAAGAGTGCAGCATTCTGTCGATCGGGGCCATAAGGAATGCAGAGAAGATTGAAGCGGATGTCCTCAAATGGTTGGCCAACGATGATAAGAAGTTGACTGAAAACGTTGAGGAGAAATTGAAGGAAGATGAGGAGAAAGCAAAGAAGAAATGTTTCTTTGCTCTGTGTCCGAATGTCAAGTCTCGCTACCTAGTCAGCAAGAAAGCGGTGGACGAGGCGCATGCTATCAGTGAACTCCTGGAACAAGGGAAATTCGACAAAGTTTCGTATTCTCCTCCCATAGAGGGGGTAGTGACCAAAGGTTACAAGGCCTTTGAATCGAGAACAACAGCCTTGAAGGAGATTATGGAGGCCTTAAAGGAATCAAGTGTTCGGATTGTTGGAATACACGGGATGGCTGGCGTAGGCAAGACCACGCTTGCCAAAGAAGTTGCTGCCAGAGTGAAGGAGGAGCACTTGTTCGACGAAGTTGCAATGACCATCGTCACTCATAATCCAGACATAAGAAAAATTCAAGGAGAAATTGCTGACATGTTAGGCCTGCATGATGATAGAACTATATTTGTTTATATTGGAAGATGCTATTATATATTATTTGATAAATTATATTTACTTCTTCTCACTTATTAATCATTACAGAATGGTATGAAAGAAGAATACAACTCTGAAGAAGATCAAAACGTAAACGATCCTTCATCTTCTAAAACATAGTTAACCCTAAATTCATTTTAGCGTATCATTGTTATCAACTCTTCCTTCACTAAGATTATTATTGGTGATCATGATAGAGTGACATGACAGAAGAATATGAGATATCTGATGAAGATCAAAGCAATCCTTTAACTTCTAGCATCCAAGTAAGCGAAAATTCATTTTAATATACTATTATTCTTCTCTTTCATGATTAATATTAATATTTTGTGAGAATGTTTGTATGTAGAATCACTTACCTTAAATAAGATAGTTTCATATGCTATACTTATTCACTAAAGTACTTCTTCAACCTCTAATACCCAATGACTTGAACCAAGTAAGCCATATATACATATAATGCAAATGGTATTTCTTACCTTCAATGAGATAGTTTCATATGCTATACTTTTTTTTTTGAATTGAAGGATGAGATGACTTTTGAAAGGGTGGATTTTCATGGGTTGTGAAATTGAAGATCCAAGAAATACTAAAGAAAATTAAGGTAATCCTTATCAACTTTTTGAGTTAACTCAATATTTTACTTATATGGTCAAAATAACTCTCTACACTTTCATTTTGGCTCAAATGTTTCAGGCCCTAAAAGTTCCTTTCATAGAAGAATAGTCACTGTGGTGATTTCCCCCCCCCCCCTCAGTCTTAATATATCTAACAGTGATTCTTTAAAGAGTGGTAACTATTTTTTTTATTACCCTTTAATTTTTATTTGTATGGTAATTATTTCTTATTACCCCTTAAATTTTACTTGTTTCACCTAATGTAATGTTTGGTTGTTTTAATGAAGTATGATGATTTAGAAGCTATACATTTCTTATTTCTAAGTTTTGACAGTTAATTTGCTGCAGGACATTAATGAGATTGGTAGAGATGATTAGCTTAAGCCTAAAGTTTGGCAGTGAATGCCAATGCTGCCTTCCTACTCTTCTCATATGCTGTGATGCGTTGCTTGGATCCCCTTTTTTGCCTTGATTAAAAATGCTGATCGGCTTGATGGCTTTCGAGTAATGAATCAGTGTTCGAAGGTGAAATGATGGAGTGTTAAAAGGTGATCCCTTCACTAGATTAAAGCTTTTGACGATGGGATTGTTTTATATTAGCCAGTGTGTGGTAAAACCAGAGATTTTCTTTTCTTGTCAGATGTCAGGTTAAACAACCTATTTCAGGTCTGCTTTGCTTACGTGTGCTGATCCTGGTGTAATGGATACAAATACTGCTAAGTTCAAGCAATTACAACCGGAATGAAACAATCAAGTTTGTTTGATTATTGTATTCAATTTGGTTATTACAATCAGCAAGTGTTTGAAATATTGTTGGTGTAAATATCATTTGAAATACATACTAGACCAATAATTTTAAGGGTAAACTACACGTTTAGTACTTAAATTATGAAACTTGGATGTATATCAATACTTTTTTATTAATCACTGAGATCGCTTAATGAAATTTATGAAACTTGGAAAATTATATTGTTCAATTAATAATATTTTTTTATTTTTAAATGTAATAATTAAATTAATAAAAATTATAAATATAAGAGACTGAAAAATTATTCTGCTATTTTCTTATATTTGTTAAAGTTAATAAACAATAATAAAATTAAATAGAAATTAAAAGAGGATCAAAATTTTCAAATAAATATAATATAAATATTTAATTTTAATAAAAGTAAATAAAAAAATAAATTTCAAATTTGAAAATAATAAAGAAAAGACTGCTCCATTTAAATCTAATACAAATATAGATACTAATAACACAAAAGAGTTAATTTTTTTATATAAAAAAATAGGGTTACACAATTGAGGATTGATGAGAGTGAAATATGAAAAGACAGTGGGATCCAGTGAAGAGGGGACAGAGGGGATTGGAAAAGGAGAAGGATGGATTGAATCGATGGATGAGTGTGGTCGTGGGTTCAAGCCCCACGATGGCGTCCTTTTCTTCAAGTTTTGTCACACAGAACTCGTGTATGTAGTTTGTTTCAGTACCAGAACTGGATGAGTTGTTTCACTTGATTCTACTTTTTGCAAATGCACGCTACTCATCTACACCCTTCCTCCATCTTAGCCCCATTAACTCAAATTTACACATGATCAATGAAAAGCTCCGTTTCCCATCAATTCCATTTGCAATAACAACTGGCCAGGGAAGGTGAAGTTTCTATACTGTAATCAAGGCTCTGTTCGAATTCTTGGGCCATATCATTCGAAAATAACACAAGGAAGTTGACTTAAGAGAAGTGTGTAAACATACTCCATTTGGATCTGATTTCTTATACATAATTTATATAGCACAAATTGTTTGTAGCATTCAAGTTTTGTTTATAAAATGGGTATGCCCAAAAACGAAATTGTTTGTCAAGTTTAGTAGTACGCTTACAAGGTAGTATTTGTACATAATTTTTCCTTAGTCTATTGATAACGCACATAGATCTTACAGACGCTGCTCGAAATCGGATCCTATAGGAAAAAACTACATAGCGTATTCAATTCAACAAGACTAACACTGCTTTTTCCCCCATTGAATGTAAGTGCCAGAAGAAGAGAACCGCATATAAGTTAAGTCTGAGACTTTAAGATATGTTGCTCTTTGAAGAAGTCAGCCGACAACTTCAGTAAAACATCCTTGCTATATATAAGGAAAATGAAAGGCTGTGGACAGTTCAAGAATTACTTTTAATTTTATAAAAACGAAAAGACGCAATCAAAAGTTTTATACAATGTGAATAGATTCTCCGGTGATTACAAGGTGATATATGCTCAGAATCTTTCTTAATCATTAACAACGTACACATATCCTACAGATGCAACTGCTCGAACCCAAAATCTCTGAAAAACAATACTCTCTTTGATCACTTGACCACTCGATGTGATTTTAAATAAAACAACTAAAAATAATTGAAGAATTGAAGACTGTGATTTTCAAGTAAAAGGATAAAAGCCAAGTTATTGCTGAAATTTTAGCTTAGGAATGGAGATAACAAATATATTGATAGGGTTAGAATGAGCTCATACTAAACATCTCTATGTCACTCATTTTACAACACACAGATGCAACCAATGAGTTCCATATTGAAAGGTCCGGCAGCATTCCCTGACTTACCATCTCTTCTAGCCACATCACTGCTTCATATTGCCTACCTATTAAGCAAAGCCCTTTTATAAGTCCTTTATAAGTTTCGGCAACCGGCCGATGTGATTTGATCAGCATCTCCTCCAAAACCCGACTTGCTTCGACATATTTACCTTCTTTGCACAACCCATTAACCAAAATGCTATAGGTTTCTTTTGTTGGCTACACAACCGACCTGCTTGGACATCTTCTTCAAATATCCAATGGCTAATTCCGAATCCCCTGCATTACAAAGACATTTCAATATGGTGTTATACAATCCGACACTCGGAACACAAGTTCCTTCCTTGATATCCTCTTCGATTACTTTGATTACTTCACTAACTCTCCCTTTCTTACTCAAAGCTTCTGCCTTTGCTTCGTACATCGGCAACGATGGGAAGAACCCTCTCTTACGCATTTCATCGAGAACTTTATCACCCTCATCGACTCTACCTTCATTATATAAATCAATGGCCATAGCAATATAGCTATCCATACTAGGAACTCCACCTCTTATTAAAGCTTCATTAATCAAGCGTTTAGTAGCTTCTGAAGCTTCCCCATCTCTGCATTGACTTAAATCAAGTCGTTGTCGACGACTCTTCGGAGCTTTTAAACCCTTCCTCAAAACCTTCCCAAGAATTTCTAAAGCTTCTTCAACCTTCCCGTCATCGCACAAAGCATCCAATAAAATCCGATAAATGACAATATCTTCACCACTACCCTTTTGGGAAATCCTCCAAAACATTGAATATAACAAATGGATAGCTTCCTCTAACCTCCCATCATCACATAAACCCTTCATTAAAATCCTGTAACTTTCCTCTATCAGGGTAACAACCTTGAAAATCCATTTCTTGGAAAATATTCAAGGCAAGATCGGATTTTTTGAATCGACAAAGCCCTTCCATTAACAAATTCAATGATCTCACCCTAGATTTCACTTCCAACCTCCAACAATTGTCCGAAAAGAGTTGATAAGCAGCTTTGAAATTAGACTCTTTCAGCACTATCCCCAAAATGGTATTAAAAGATTCAGTAAAATTGACACAATTGAATTGAGGAATGCTGTTAAAGAGATTCGAAGCCTCATTTACCATTCCAGCACTTGCAAAAGTTCTGATAGCACCAACAAAAACTGAATCTTTGCACTCACAGGAATCGTCTTTCATTTGATCGATCACTTGTTTCATCTCCAGAATTCGACCGGAGTTGCCAAGAATGTTGATCATGGTAGCATAAACGGAACCATTGTGACGATAGTTGGGGTATTTTTGGTGGGCTTGATTGAAGATTTGGAGCGCAGTTAATGGGTTCTTTTGGGTTGATATAATTTGAGAGAGATGCGTTGGGGTTAAAATTCTAGGCCATCTGATTCCCATCGCCAGCACAACTATCTTCAACGTTGTTTTTGCAGTTCAAAGTTTGCAATTTGAGTCTTTTTATATCAGTCAGACGTTTAACCAAACAGCTGGAGGGCTTTCCGTGTATTTCATTTGCTTTCACCTCACCCTGAGGAGCTCGCCCTATAACTCCGGCCGGAGCTTCAGAAATCGGAAAACGCCGGTGTGAGTGTGGTGGTTGGCACTTGGCAGACCTCAAAATCAATCAGATTTCAAAGAAAGAGTCCGAATATTTGAAGCCTAAATAACCCGACTACCATTAACGTTTGCTCAAACATACGAATAAATGCCATAAATGAGTTACTTCGTGCTCTCAAAATTGAACCAAAATGAATCAAACATCGGTTGAGTCCGGGAGAAATTTTGATATCCACACTTTTAGATAAAATCGAAAAACATTTCAAA